CTGCAGACATCATTTTCGTCCAATAGCTCTCCCAACTGTGGGGTCCTTAGCCCTGAGAAGGCGTGCTCCACTGGGCTCCCCTCTCTGCCCTAGTCCAGCATCTGTGAGGGCTTCTGCAATTCAGAAAGAATCCCCAGGGCACAGCAATAACTATAAGAAAATATCAAGTCTGGGGAGACCCACTTTGGGGCATCATTTGCTGTGCTGGAGGTGCAGGTGGTAGAGGAAGGAGAGAATTAAAAGCACAAACAAAGAAGTGGGGCTTCTTTTCATCAGAGCCCAGACTAGGTGCGAAGAGGCTGAAATGAAAGGTTTCCAGGGTAAAGGACAGCAGCTGAGGGAGCATCCCTTGGGTGGCTCAATAAGAGTTGTGTCTTTGTAAAACACAAAGGGGCTGTGATAAAATCAAGGACTTCAAGAGAGCAGGAGAGACTTAGAAGAAGTGCTCTGTGAAATCAGATGTGTCAAAGAGAGATAAATGAGGCCTGGCCTGTGGGAATCAGTTGGTTGGGCATAGCACTGTGGACCAAAGAGTTGCCGGTTTGATTCCTGGTCAGAGCACATGTCCGGGTTGTGTGCTTGATCCCTGGTAGGGGGCGTCATTGTTTTTCTGTCTCTGTCCCTCTCCCTTCCTCTCTTTCTTAAAAAAAATTAAAATCAATAAATGTATTTTTAAAAACTATATATATATATATATATATATATATATATATATGAATGATAAATGAAATGATATGGGAGAAGCAGGGTAAAACATAAACTTAGGGCATATATCTTGAGATTATAATAGATTCAATTAGCCATTTATGAATTTTTAGAGCAACTCAACATCCTGAAAGTAGCAGTTGAAGGCTTCCTCTTTAGCTATGGGAATTAGAAAAACCTGCGGCAGTTCCAGACGGTAAGACATTTCAGAGTGGGGGTGAGTTCCCTGTAGATATGGCTGTGAGCAGATATGGCTTTGAGGACCAGGAGATCGCAAGAGGTTGAAGGAGTTCTTCTTTAAGAACAAAGGAAGTTGCTTGCACCTTGTGTATAGAGATGGAAGGTCATGTGATTGTGGTCAGAAAGGAGCAGCTTCATACATGGAGATCTGGGTGTGGTTGTGATGAGGATGAAATCTACAGTGTGTCCACACAGGTGGAGAGATAATATGGGATGATGTGATAATAATATGGGATAATAAGGCTGCTAGAATAAATTTGGGCAAAGGAACTGTGATTATGTGGTGACTTTGAACTTGAGAGGATTCTGGGAATAGAATGAGTAGAACAAAACACCATGAGGCAATTCTCCTAGTGAGGGGATATACAGAGTGCGGCGAAAGTAAGTTTCCAGTTGTGAATATGGGAAACACAGAGTTTACTCTTGTATTGTTCCTTATGAATTACAACTGTAAGCCTACTTTTGCCCCACCCTATATTTTTAGGGTATGCTGCACCAAGGAACTAAAATGGGTGATTAATAACAGAGTAACAGAAGAAATAATAACAGAACAGAGAACTAGTCCCTGAAATACAGCGATGCCCCAGAAGTGGTCCTGGGGTATGAGAGGTATTGGCACTTTGCCCTCCTGGTCCTGCGGTTAGTTAGAGTGTGTTGTCCTTACTGTAGGGATTGTGAGAAACCTCATGTTTCAGTTAATGTGAACAGGTAAGGGAATGGGGGAGAGAATGTAGGAAAATTTGTCCTTAATAGGATTAAAGTTCCAAAAAGATCTGTGAAAGCATTTTGGATAAGAGTTCTGAATCTTGGCTGCACAATGGATTTATCCTGGAAGTGCTGAAAATAAAAACCAAAACCAATACCTAGACCAATTAGATCAAAACTTTTGGGTTGAGATTCCAGAGCAAATCTTTTTTTAAAGCTCCCCACCTGATTCTTATGTGTGTGGGATAGAAAACTACAGATTTAGGAAGAGCATAAGTGAAAAGTGGGGTGGGGCTGAAGAAGGAGGAAGTATTTGCAAAGGACAGTGTTTATGGATAACAGACAATAGAGAAGTAGGGATATGGTAGAGAGACTATATCGGTAGGGAACATTGGCAGGCAGGGTGCCAAAAAGGCAGAGCTGAGGTAGTGAAGGGCCTTTTTCTGAGTTTATCGGCCCCCAGTTTCCAATTCCAGTTTGGTTGTGGCTGAACAAATATTCTCCTTGTTAAGTTACCCATCTTAGACTGCTCAACTGTAACTAGCATTTTGATATTTCTGCAGTATTCAAAGGCCATGCGGTGTAAGATACCTTATCCATTATTCATGTTTGTTTTAGGCTAAGTGCTGGATCCCCAGATGCTGGGAATTTATAGATGTCTACTTGGAAAGCACTGACCACAACACAAACTGCTCTTGGTTTGTTTTCATGGCTAAAACCTGTGCGTCAGTCTTTCTTGGTGTGGACCACTAATTAAAATAATCCAAATTATTTATAGACTATTATTTTCTTTGCATGGATACGTGTGTGTCTGTTGGGAAGAAAGGTCAATAGTGCCTGAGTATAAAAACTATGTGTGTAAATACCAAATACGTGTATCAAATATTTCAAGTATGATGTAGATCTTCTGCAACGATTTTTCTTGGAATCATTAAAAAGATTCACCTTAATCAGTTCCCATGACTCCTCTATGAATACACTTTTCCCTAAGAAGAATTTAAGCCTCGGATGATTTCTATCCTGACAGAGCCTTAGAAGTATCACATTTGCAAAGAATATAAAAGAAATAACCCTAGGCTTTACACTTGAGCTGTGCATTCACATCATTTATTCAACATCAGAAACTCCTGCAGGCTCAACCATCAAAAATATATCCAGTGACTGACTGTCTCATTCTCTTCATGGACCCAACCTGCCACACTCAGTCTTCATGACCCAGAATTACTCTCTGGATAGAAACACCAGAAGGAAATACCCTGATTTCCAGAAAAATTGCTTTATTTGACACATTTTTCTCCCACTTCTCATCTTCTTTCTCTGGGTGCTCATCCTTCAGAAGCTCCTTCGAATGCTTCCATTCATCCTCCCTTGCAATGCCAGGGTTCCCTTTGGTCTCTACGATGTAGGGCTAGCATGTCAAACTCACCTCCTGTGGACTGTATGCCTCGTTTAGACAAGTGAGTGGCCCGTTGAGAAACCCACTTTAAGATTGGAGAGTCCAGACGGCAGCCAGATGCCTGGGAGAGAGGCTTGTACTCTACACTCAATAGCTGTGTGACCTCGAGCAACTTAACTTTTCTGTGCCTTGGATTGCACTTTTTAAAAACGGGATGATATCTTATTGTTGTGAAGAGTACATGGGTTAATAGAAATATTTAGAAACTTGATCAGCACATAGCAAGTTTTCAGTTTTTATGATTTTCTCCCTCTACTCTCCCGGGATATTACCTTTTATCACCATGATGACAAGTATCAATATACAATTGGTTCCTAAGTCTGTATCTCAGGATTTACTCTATTCAGAGAGCCACACCCATATTTCTACACCTTGGGCATTTTGTCCTAATATCTAATTCATATCTCGAACTCAATATACCCAGAGCAAAGGCACCAGATCCACACCCTGAGCTGCTACCTACCACCTGGGTTTGCTCCTGTGACTTGAGGCAGGCTTGCTCCACGCATTCAGTGTTAGTTAGCTGGCCAGCTAGAGCTACTTGAACAGGACCTTCTGCACCTCTTCTCTTCTTCACATGCCTCTGTCATCACCCCAGGCCTTCCCTGCTTTTCTTCTTTATCTTTCCACTGACATCAGACTAATATTTTAAACATCTATTTCCAATCATGTATTTCTTCTGTTTAAATTTCTCCAGTGAATCTCCATTAACTCAAGAAACTGAATCTCAGCTCCTCTACCTGGCAGTCCAGGTTCAGCCAATAAAATTCCCATCTGTCATTTTACTATGCACCAATAGAGTCTGAGTTCACTGCCCCCTCTGTTTCTTCATGCTGTTCACTTCACCTAGAAATCTTGTATTTTTTCCCCATTATTGCTGGTCACACCATATTTTCTTTAAAAAATATATATATAATTTATTGATTTTTTTTTTTTTTTACAGAGAGAGAGAGTTAGAAACATTGATGAGAGAAACATTGATCAGCCCCTTCTCCACACTCCCCACTGGGCATGTGCCCACTAACCAAGGCACATGCCTCTGACTGGAACCGAACCCAGGACCCCCTGAGTACACAGACTGATGCCCTATCCACTGAGCCAAACCAGCCAGGACCAAACCATATTTTCCTTAGGGCCAGTATAAAATGTGAGCTTTTCCTCATATTTCCTTAAAATAATATGATGCCTCCGTCTCTTGAACTTCCATAGAACTTTGCATTCATCTGTGGTATTTATCACACTCTGACTTGTCTCCTAGTCCTTGGCATGCTTCTTTAATTCCTCCTTTTATTGCAACTTATCCAAAGACGCTTACTATAATACATCCTTTTCAGCTTCAAATGGGATACAATGAATGGCAATAGTGGGACCAGGTATTAAGCTCATTTATTCTGCAAAGCAGCAGCCTGTTGTCAAATGCTCAGCCTCTCCCTTGCACTCCTCATAAAAAGAATGGGAATGCATATAAATGCAGTAGCACACAAGAGGAACATACAGTGTGAGCAACTATGCCAATTCCTTTTATAGGGAGAACACAGCTGCGATAAACATGGAAGCGGATTATTACCATCCACAGGTCTCCTTGCCAAATTCTCCCTTCTTAATTTTTCATTAAAGAAAATCAAGGAAGGTAAACAAAAGTAGCCCTTGGGAGGGATCAGTGTAGTGGAAACAGCTCATTTATCAGCCTGGTCTCAGAGAAATGTCTCATTTTTTAAAAAATAAAAAAATTGCATCTTTTGAGGCCAAACACTTGTGTTCCCACACTGGGATACGACACACACACACACACACACACACACACACACACACACACACATACACTTACTCTAGGTGTGCGCAGACAACCTTTGGTGTGAAGGTGAAAAGGGCACGTCATGCAGGAGCCACTTACCTTCAGGGCATCTTGGGTGTCATCCAGACAGTAGACCCGGACGCTGTACTCTAGAGAGGAGCAGCAGAGGGGCCCGAAGATGGCCAGCTTCAGGCGCTTGGCGGCCCCTTTGGTGATGGACTGGCCGACCAGGGTGTAGGTGCTCAGGTTCTCTGTGAGGAGGTGGCAGGCTTCTGCATCCAGCTGAATGTAGCAGGGGGTGGTGAAGTTTTCCTCTCCCACCACCACCACATCCTGCAGGACAAGAAGGAAGGGGGCGTGGCTGAGCCCTGAGGACCCTGATGCGGATAAATGGTGGTAAAGGCTGCAGTTTCTCTTTTCCTGAGCTATGCTTATTAATTTTTCTTCCCTTTATTTCTTTCTCAGGCTTTATTATCCCTCTGTTTCTATCTGTCCTGTTATCTCTCTTACTTCCCTTGCCTTTATACTGCTTATATTCTTTATTTAGATGCCATTCATTTAGCATGTTTTGATCGGAGAACCTACATAAAATTTCAGAACAAATTCATGAATTATCTTTTTTCAGTGTAGCTGTATTTATTATGTGTTTATGAGAATTTAATGTTTTAATCTCCAAAATATTTTTGAGACCAAAAGTACTGTTTTATTTCAATACAATTATAGCATAGAAGTTTAAACACTAGCTTTATAATTATTCAAAGTGTGTATATATTTCTAGGGGTTTGAAAATAATTAGAAAACTTAGGCAATGATGCAATATCATTCTACTGTGTTCTTCCAAACTCACCTGCCAATTGTTTTCTAAAGCAAAACCACTACTTTTCCTCATTAATCTGGGCTACTAGACTCTATGGAAAGCACAGTGTGGTCAACTCCATGCCTTTAAGACAATTTTCTGAGTTATTTTTTCAAGTAAGTGTTTATATAATCTATTCTTACATGTTGAAAATATTTAGCAAGAAATAAAAATAAGTGGAAGTGATGAATTTTGTGAAAATAGTAACTCAGTTTTGTTTTTTTTAAAATATGTTTTTATTGATTTCAGAGAGAGGGAGGGAGTGGTAGAGAGGGCTGTAAACATTGATGATGAGAGAGAATCCTTGACCAGCTGCCTATTACATGCCATCTACTGGGAATGCAGCCTGAAACCTAGGCATGTGCCCTGACTGGGAATCTAACCATGACTTCCTGGTGAATAGGTGGACACTCAAACACTGGGACATACAGTTTTAAATTTATCCGAATGACACAGGCAACAGAAATTATCTGAAAGAGCAAGCATAGAACCCATAAACCAAGGGTCACGATTCCACATGCTTCCCAAAGCATCGAGGTGATAGGAAGACAATAAGGAGTGGTGGAGACTGTGGTAAAGCAGGGCATAGGCCTGTCTAAAGAGCTGAGTCTCCACTTGGCTGCAGCCCTTTGTAGCTTTGTGTAAGTTTAGGGCTACTGAGCCTATAGCCTTTAATTTTTCAAGAGAAACTGGAAGTTTATATTTTTATGTGAAATTATCCTTTTACTAATTCAAACTTAAAAGAAAATTTCATGTGGGAGAAATAAAATACATGTGCAGGTATAACTCACCCTCTGCATTAGGCTACTTCATCTCCACAGAGGCAGGACTTATATCTATCTACTTTGCTTCCCACTGTGGGCCTGGCTGATGGTGAGCAAATGGTTATTTGTCCAAAAAATGAAGAAATGTTTCACCATAAGTTGGGTCCCTGGGGATGGACAAAGATCTGAAAGAAGTAGGCCCCTCAGGTGGCTGTTTATTAGCTAGGCCTTGCAACATCAGCTGAGCTCCAGTAAGAGCTGTCTTTTCATAGTATCCATGAAATTGTTTCTTCAGCTGAACCTGTACCCAAAGATGAAGTTCAAACTGAGTAGGAAAAGCTCAGCATCTCCAGCCCAATAGGACACCTGGAAAGAAGCTGCTTTCTCTCGCAGGGTGAACATCAGCCTCGGGCATCATCTAATCATGGCATGTTACAGAAAGCCTCCTGGAAGATATGGCCAAGTATATAGATGCCCCTGTCCCTGTCCCAAATCTAAGTGTTTTCATAAGGACTGTCCTCTTCTCTTCACATCTCTTTCTTTTCTTTTATCATTATTACTAGAGGCCCAATGCATGAAGATTCATGCAAGAAGGGGCCTTCCTTCCCCTGGCTGCTGGCACCGCCTTTGCTCAAGCCAGAGCTGCCTTTCCACCTTCCCATGCTGCCCAGAGGCCTGGAGGGTCTGGGGAAGTGTGGAAAGCCTGAGTCCACACCATGGCAATAATGCAAGCATCCTGTCCCACCCCAGGCCGCTTGGTGCCTGGGTATGCAAATTAACCTTCTAGTTTTATTGGGTTGACTTTCATACTCACTCCTGATTGGCTTGTGGGTGTCTTAAAGGTACAGTCAATTTGCGTCTTACTCTTTTATTAGTGTATGCTGATGTTATTATTATTACTCAAATTATTATTATTATTATTATTATTAATTATTATTATTCAAATTACCGAGACATAATGTAATTGTATAGATAATTGTGCAATTTGGGGTCACTGATTGTACAATTTGGAATGTTGTTGAGGTAAATAATTTAAAGTTTAATTAAATTAAAGTTAGATTTCATTAAGTCTGGTTTTAACTCAACATAGAGTATATTCCTAGACTTCAGTCTTGGACTGGAGGTCCTTTAACAAGGAGTGATCCCCTCAAGTGGCTGAAAGAACATATCCATAGCAGGAAATTCCAGTTAATCCAGGGTTCCCTGCTGCTCTTCTAGGTCTAATATGACTTTTTCCTAAAATATTAGTCTTGAATGTGTATGTATAGCTTGTTCAAATGGTTCCTTCCTAAAAGGAAAATATGATATGTAATCACAAAATATATAACATATAGATTAGATACATTTTGTAATGATTACACAAAAATACAGGGTAGCTTTTTCAAAGTATTTGATTTAAAAAAATTGTTATGTTTTTTATTTAAAAAAATCCTGAAATGTGTTTTCCTGAGAATAATCTAAAATGTAATTTTTAGTTGGCTATTTTCCATATAAACAATAGACCCTGTTTATTCAAGGGGAAATAACGAGAATATACACAAATGTTTAAAAGGTATTAGGTATAAAACCTTCATGGGAAACATAACAATCCTCTGGCACTTAACTGTGGGTGCTAACTGAAGGGTTTTGATGTCAAGAACAGGATTTTCTTAAGGCACTGTCCTCAAGAAATTAGGATGGCAGCAGCCACAGAGAGGCAAGATGCCACAGATGTGCTTTATCCTAGTGGCACTTGAAATACTGTTTCTGTAAGAGCCAACATTTTCTCAGCCAAATGCAATGTTTCTTTACCTATAAATTTAAAATTTAGATATATTCACCAAAATTTGCATACACACTTTAATAGTTGATAGCTCAATTGATGTTTTTTTTCTTTTTAGCCAGATTCTTTTCCATTTTGAAAATGAACTATGTTAATAAACACTGACTTTATAATCTAAGTGTATATAAATAAATTTCCCTTCCCAAGATATTGTATGTATATTCCAAAATGTGTAAGATTCCTAAGTACACTTTCCTTATGAGCTAGCTCATGCTTGACCATAATTTTCTGTGACTACCAGACAACAGATAAAGCATTCAATAAACAGTCTGTCTGTCTTTCCCCCTTCCTGCCTCTCTCCCCTCTCCTCTCCTCTCTTGATCCCCTTCCTGCATGTTCTCTCTCTTTCATTTTGAGCATAAGATAAAATTCCATCCATGTTTTGTTTTAAAAATAAAAGCCTTGCCGAAACTGGTTTGGCTCAGTGGATAGAGCTTCGGCCTGTGGACTGAAAGGTCCCAGGTTCGATTCTAGTCAAGGGCATGTACCTTGGTTGCGGGCACATCCCCAGTAGGGGTAGTGCAAGAGGCAGCTGATTAATCACTCTCTCTCACTGATGTTTCTAACTCTCTATCTCTCTCCCTTACTCTCTGTAAAAAAATCAATAAAATATATTTTAAAATATATAAAAAAATAAAAGCCTTCCCATGCTTGGTTCTGCTTATCTGAATGGATTGCCCCTGAATTCCATCTTTATCCCAACTGCAGCAGCTCACCTCCCACTGTCCCTGTGCTGCCTGGTTCTTGAGCTGTATCTTCCAGTCTTCGGTGTTGGGGTCTGCGCAGTGATGCATGGTGAGGATGACTGGGCGGGTCAGCAGGGCTCCTGGAGGCCCACAGCTCACCACAGGGGTCAGGAGTGTCTGAGTGTCTTCCATGGGTGGCCTAGGAGGGCAGAGAGCAGCATCAGTGACATTTCCATACATTTCTGTGTATGTACTCTGAGATTTTAGATCTAAAATTGAACAGTTATTTTTTTTGAGTTTTTTTGGGGGGGCAAACAGGAGTTAAGGCAGAACCAAAGTGGAAGATATGCTCTTTATACTGAGACTTTGATCTTGCCAGACTGGAGGTCTTGTGATAACAGTGGGTCTGCCAGCATCCCTTTGATCCTCTTCCCCCAGATACAGGTCTTCCTTTGGTGACTTCCTTTGAAATGCATGTACAGATAGTTTCAGGATGGAATGAAAAGAAACAGTACTTAGGAGGTTACATAACTATGCTTTCTGGCAACACTTGCTATTGTCCTCACAGGGTTTTAAGTACTTCTGTGTTTTGGGGACCTAACTTGAAAAAATACTTCAAAAAACATCACTTGAAAACAAGGACACCCTAGAGCTAAACTTCCTCCAAATAATTTTTGGGAACAATTCGGGCTAGAACAGCAAATTCATTCTTCCAAAAGTGACCAAACTACAGAATTTTATTTCTACAGTAAAATGAAAACTCTCTCCTTGTATACTTCATACTATCAGAGCCTAAATGGAAAAAAAGCCACAAACAACTCCTTCAAGATCTTTATTTCACTCACATCTCTCTTTTTAAATTGTCTTAAATCTTTTCTCCAACAAGATTGTAATCAAGAAACAAATGGATAAATTAACCCAAGTTATCAGTTGGCATGTGAAGCTGTAGTCCCAAGATGTTGAGTAGATTGCCCAAATTCTCACAACTCACAGTGCTATAGCTGGGACTAAGACCAATGTCTTCTCAACAACAGTTCTCAATATTATTCTGTCAGGTAATGTGGCTTAAATATCATCGACTCATGTAATTTAGAGGAGGAAACACCCTTGGGATCAATAAGTACCATCTTCTGTCCAAAGCAGGAGGCTCTCTATAAATGCTGACATGTGGCTTTTAGTTTTCAAATTTTTTCATCCATTGATTTTAGAGAAAGAAGAAGGGAGAGAGAGGGAGAAGGAGAGAGGGAAAGAGGAAGGAAGGGGAGAGAGAGAGAGAGAGAGAGAGAGAGAGAGAGAGAGAGAGAGAGAGAGAGAGGAGAGAAACATCCATCTGCTACTCCACCCATCCATGTACCCATTGGTTGCCTCCTATATACTCCCCAGCTAGAGATCGAACCCACAACTCTGGTGCATTAGGATGATACTACAACCAACTGTGCTACCTGGCCAGGGCTGGTTAGTGCTTTGACACAATAGAAATTATAGTCCACGACTGCTGAGGCTCATTTCATCTATTATCAACTTACATATACAATGCATTCTTATTTAGAATGAACACAATCTCCCTTCCTGATTCCTCTCAATAAATCCTTGGCCTGCTTTCTTTCTACTATGGCATGAAAGCCTTTCAAATATTTAGCTATTGTTATTATGTCTCTAAAAAAATCTTCTGTATTTCAGAGCAAACATTCTCTCAATTCCTTAATGTTTTAAACTTTAGCTAGAAAATCATTTGATTTCCCAATCTCTCCCTGTATTTCTATCTCCCTTTCATATAGATGTCTATCAGTGTTTCAGTATCTTCCCTAATTTGGGTCGTCTTGGGATGAATGTAATGCTCAAGTAGACAGTGCAGGGAGACTACTGGGTTTTGGAATATGTAGTTTTATCAATATCTCACAAAACCATTGCCTTAGGTTATTCTCAATCAAGTAATTATTGATAAATATTTTTAGCATGCTTGAGTTAGATGGGAAGATGGATATAATATGGTTAAGCATTTTATGTATAAAATGAGGCAATAAATCCCCAAGAAGGTTGAGTAATTTGTTAAACTAACCAATCTATGTATTATATTTCTAACATGAAAGGCTTTTGGGCTAAGTCTCTACAGTTATGCAATGCTTTTGAACCTATGTACAGACACTTATATTTAGCTCTTTCATTTCACCTTAATAATTTCAGGACATCTATTTCTTAGTGCTATGTCTTTCCTCCAAATATTGGCTGTCTCACCCAGTCTTTCATCCTCCATAAATCTGATATGCCTGCCACTTATGTTCTCATCTCAATCACTGATAACATTGTAATACAAGAATAGGGCAAGAGACAGAGACCTTTTCAAGGGCACCGCTTGAGATGTCTCTCTGGTCTGACATCAATATGCTGAGTTATTTAGTTCAGCCAAATATAAACCCATTAAAATGTATATTGTCTCGTTCACCTCTTTCCACTTCATTCATGTGGATATTGCAGAGACATATCACATTCCTTTATAGTGGCAATGGGCACTTCATATGGATTTTTCTCTACTATTTACTTGTGGTTCCTGTATTAAATACTACACAATCTAGAAGTTAACTTATCTCTATGGCCTCATTTATCACTCAATGAGTGGTAGCAGTTGTTACTAATTTTTTTTTTTTTAATACTGTTGGAAGAAAAATCTCCATGGAGCTCTCATGTTTTTTGCACGTTCCTGTCTTTGCAAAGCAGTTGCATAGCACACACCTTGGAAGATAAGGCAGTGCTTACCTCTGGAGTAAGTGGTAGACATGCCTACTTTTCATGATAAAAGACTCAGGTTTCCTAAGCCCAGGAGCTGTTTTCTGAGCTGCAACCACTGGGTGTATAGATGTTGTTTGTCCCTCTTTGCATCACTCTTGTAGCACCTGGGCTCAGGAAAACTGGCACAAAATGAGGATACTCTGGATGGCGCTGTTGTTGTGAGTAATGAGTACACTTTGTCCCTAACTAGGATTCTTGTGCCATGTGTCAGCATCTGCAAAACTGGCAGTCTACTTGGTAGCTCACAAGTAAGGTTAAATCTTAGATATTCCTTTAGTTCCTGACAATTATTTTTATAAGTTCTGAGAACTCAATTAAAATTTGGCATATTTCCCCCTTAATAAAATCCGGCTGTCACTGCTTCTACTCTCTTTCTAAAATTTTACTAGTATCTCGCCAACCAATGGCTTCCCTCGCTCCCCTTACATTTAGGAAATCAAAACAATTTTGACTCCTTTTAGCCTTTTAATATCATCTCCCTTCTCATTTAATAACAACTCAGTTTTATTAAATCTAAAGTTATCAAGGTACTTGGAAATGTACTTATATTTGGACGTTTAAGGTTATTGGCAGCTTAAGAACTCATTACCATCCTCTTTACCCCTTCATTTTCATTTCCTCTTTACCTAGTTTTCCCTCCTTCCTTCCAATCTGAAATTCATCCTCTTAGATCAGGAGTGAAGTTTTGCTTTTATTGTGTCATAGTTAATATTACACTATCTGCCCTGAGCTTATTACAATTCAACTTTTCCTACCAGAGTCAGTGGTGATGGGAAAGCAATGATTGCATTTTTCCAAGCACTACTCTTACCTTTTAGTTGCAATTATACCTCAAGCATTAAACTTTTCTAAAATTATATTTTATATAATTTAATTTTAAATTGAATTTATTGGGGCTGACATTGGTTAATAAAATTATATAAGTTTCAGATGTACAGTTCTTTAATCCATCATCTGTATATTGTGTTGTGTGTTCACCAACCCAGTCAAGTTTCCTTCTGTCACCATTTATCCCCCCCCTCCCCTCCCATACCCCTTTCTATCTCCCACAAACCCTCTTTCCCTCTGGTAATCCCCATACTGCTGTATGTGTCTGTGGAGTATTAAACTTTTAAGGAAGGAAAATATAGTGGAAACCATTTCAAGTGGCCCTTGCAATACAAGTGAGGATTGGAAACAGCTGTCCCTCAGTCTGCTGTTAGCAGCAGGTGCTGGAGGCAGAAGGAGGAGGGGTTCTTCTCATCACTGAGTTGGAACAGAAGGGAGAAGACTCCCTGCTGGCCCAGGGAGCTGTCAGACCTGCTCTCTCACAGCATAGCCCTGGCATGCAATATTGATGGGCGCCATCCTCAGGGGATGGGTACCAAGAAGAGGAAGGGGCAGTAGGTGTCAAAAGAATTTATTAACTCAGTGAGGTGCAAGAATGTAATGAATAGGGAACGGGTGAAGTGAAATTCATAACAGGGAATGAAAAACAAAGAAGCAATAATGATGGAAATCTTGTCTGTGTTTTCAAGATGAAAACAGTGTTGAAATTGGAAACATTTACAAACACTTACAGGAGTGACTTAGGGATCAACCGTTAAGATTTACCAACGGTCAGGTCAGAGTGTTTAAATTTAAAATTTTTAATTTATATAAAGAGATGATATTAAAACCCATTACACAAAAAGAGTAGAAAATAAATATAAACAGGTCTGATTCACGTGTTTGCAGAGAAGGGTTTGACTCTCTCTCTTTTTTTTCTTTTTACTGTGCACTTTTTTATTTTTCTTTTCTTTTTTTATTAAATTATTATCTGTTTGACTCTTTTATATCTTGTGTTATGTAAGCTATTTAAGCAAAAATTGAGTAAATATTCACTGCAGATGATATGGAAATGAACACAAAGCAAAAATTAGCTGTAGAAGCAGCAATTAAGTAGGATTTTAGTAATGAACACCGCTTAAACTTTCACAGGCCTTTCAAAGTCCAATAAAGACAATATCACTGTAAACCCTGGGTGGGTTCTGAGGCTTCCAGTACCAAGCTGTGAGACAGGGTTTCCCATTTCGTGTCAGAGGGCTTTTCTCACATTTTGCCTGCTGTTATCAGTGAGGGGAACCTTTCTAACACAGAACGGCATCTTTAATAAAACTTTCACAAGCGCGGTTGCTTTTGCTGCTCATGGCACACCTGTAAAGTGGTTATGATAAGGATTTACCTTACCTCTTTTTCCAGAAGAGGAAATGGAAACCTGGCGATATTAGCATATCCACCTAAGTCTGCACTAGCTACAGGCAAAACTAGAATGCAAACAAAATCGTTCTGTTTCTTTCACCTAATGGTGTGTGTGGGGTTGCTCATCTGGGTTTAGGGCCTGGAGAAATTTGTTTGCCTGTTTGCTAGACCAGGTTCAGAGCTGCTTATTGA